GGTCAAGGGTCTAGAAATAGTTGGCGCCGTGGAGGCAGTCGAGCGCATCATCGATTCGGGGTAAAGGATAAACGTCCTTCTTGGTGATCCGATTCAGGTGGCGATAGTCGACGCAAAAGCGCCAGGTGTTGTCCTTCTTTTTAACTAAGACCACAGGGGAGGCCCAAGGACTCGATGAAGGCTCAATCACGTCTTTCCTCAACATTTTCTCGACCTCCGTCTGTATAACTTGGCGCTCAGCATGTGACACGCGATAAGGGCGTTTGTGGAGTGGACTGGCGTCGCCAGTGTCGATGCCGGTGGGTTACGGCACTTGTGCGGCCCAGGGGACGATCGTCGACGTCAAAGATATCCAGGTAAGAAAACAGAACACCTCGGAGCGCCGCAATTTGGGAAGGTAAGAGGTCGCTGGATATCATTTTGTCGAGGAACGCCTTATTTTGCGTGATGACAGGTTTCGCCACGGTCTTAGTGTCAGGTGTAAAAGAACAAATCGAACATTCATCAAGGGTGGAAAGATCGGCTAAAGTGATGCCTTGGGGAAGAACTTGGGCCGACATAGAGAAGTTCAGAACTGGAAGTAGCACCGTGTTGTTAGCAACAATCACTATAGTATGTGGTAGTGCGATGTGGTGCGTAAGGGTCAAATCAATGAGGGGAGCTACCAGATAGTCTCCATCAGGAACGGACAGGAAGGGCGACAGAGGAACGTACATAGCAGCCTGGGGCGGTAGCCGTAGAGACTCCACGGATCGTAGCCGAGTGCGACTTGGAGGAGTGAAATCGGAGCGCAAAGGCAATTCGAGCCGTAAGATACCGGTAGAACAATCGATGAGGGCGGAGTGGGCGGTTAAGAAGTCAATTCCAAGGATGACGTCGTGTGGGCAAGCATCGAGGACTGCGAAGAGAACGGAAGTATGGTGGCCAGCAACAGTAACGCGGGCAGTGCACATACCAAGCACCGATGTTCGACTTCCGTTAGCAACTCGAACAGTAGAGAACATAGCTGGTGTGAGAACTTTTTTCAGGCGAGATCGAAGTGTAGAACTCATAACAGATACTTGGGCACCAGTGTCAATTAGAGCAGTAACGGCGTGGCCATCAACGAACACCCGAAGTAAATTGCGTCTTGAAATTGTAACCAGTTGAGGGTTTTCGTTTCGAGTCGTCAACGCAGCGCCACCTCCAGGAGCTGCACTCGTTAGTTTCCCGGGGAATGGCCAGAATAAGCCGGTGACGGAGAGCGGCGGCGTTGAGGGGAGCGTGACGGCCGACCCTGAGGTGACGGCAAGCGGCTTGACCAGTTTCTTTGGGCGACATCAGCGTAAGACGGTTCGGAGCGTGGAGATGAACGGCGAGCTGAAGGGTCCTGAATATGGTCATCCGAAAAACCGGGTTGCGAATAGTGTTCACGGTCCTGACGGCGGTCGACATTACGAAAGCTTGGCCTGAAATACCCCCTGTTGCGACAATGGCGGGAGATGTGCCCAACTCGAGAGCAAGAAAAACAGATGGGTCGATCATCGTGCGTACGCCACTCAGATGGATTTCGGTAGCATGGTGGAAACCGAGGAGTCGAAGCTGCCGCAGCGACAAGTGGGGCAGAGTAGTGGTCAGCGTTGTGGACAGGAGTGCTCATGGGCTGCGGCTGGGGAACCTGGACGCCCAGGTTAGCAAACTCCTGACGTACGACGGCTTGAATGAGCGAGACTGTTGCCCAGTGGTCTTGCGCAGGGGGCTGATAGGAAGCGGGTGCCATGGCTTCCAGCTCCTGGCGAACAATCCTTGCGATATTGGCAGGAGGCGCAAGTGAACGGGGCCCTGCAGAATCCTCGCAAGACGAAGTCGCAGCAGTGTTTGGTAGTCTCGTGATGTGGTGGGTGATTCGCCTGCTTTTAGCTTGTTCAAATCGTCGGCATTCGAATATGATGGAGGCGACAGTGGTGCAGTTCTTGCACATTAGTATGTTGAAAGCATCATCAGCAATGCCTTTCAACACGTTGTTGATCTTGTCCGCCTCGGACATGTTTTTGTCAGTCTTACGGCACAGTGCCAGTACGTCTTGGATGTACGTGACGTACGACTCCGTCGATGATTGAACACGCAACGCGAGGTCCTGCCTGGCTGCCATCTGACGAGCAACTGACCGACCGAACAAATGGCGAAGCTTTTGCTTGCATGTGTCCCAGCTGGTTAATTTTTCTTCATGCGTCTCATACCAGGCGCGTGCCGTACCCCTTAGGTAGAACAGAATATTTGCCAGCATAAGCGTTTCGTCCCACCTGTAGTGCTTGCTGACGCGCTCGAATAATGCGAGCCATTCTTCGACGTCCGTGCTGTCCGTCCCGGAAAACGTGCCAGGGTCGAGAAGATGGGAGGGAATCACAGGTGATGGAGCCGGCGCGTATGGCGAGGCCTGAGTGCCAGTTTCAGGCATCGGGGCTGGAGAAAGCTGGCGTCCACTGCGGAGTTCCAGAGCCGGGTTGTGTGAAGAAGCCGCACCTCCACCAAAAGATGTTACGGGGAAGATTTATTCACCGAGAGCTGGTCTTGCTAACGGCTTAAAGAGCGCACAGTCATGCAGGCCAACGGGAGAAGCTCGAGAGTCCAACCCACTACAACCATGTTGTCGTCTTCTTCATTTGGGTGCCAATTTAGCTGTGTCGGGGTGAGAGTTTCATACACGTATCATCATCAATGGACATTTGTAGGGGTATTTTCAAAATGTTGTTAATCTGAAAAAAATCCTTGAGCTGACATTTGCTGTAACGAGATATGACTCTCTGCATCGACAGCTGTGACAACGATGTTCTTATGAGGTGGAATGCTCTGACAAAACCACGCCTAGGATTCACATGAAAAGGCCTCTGGCAGCTGACATAAATAGTATGTGCCCCTCTAGTTTTAAACGTGCTTCATTGTTTACTTGTAACGGTTATTGCAATGCCATTTTCATCATTTATTAAACCCTTAGAGGCCTTGGACAGGGCATTACATAAGAGTGGAACAAATAAATGTCATAAGGACATGTCATAATATAAATGTGCTTAACACTGAAAGCAAATATTGCGGGTGTGAATATTTGAAGTGTTAAATATTTTTCGAATAGTGCTTGCTATTCGATTTGAATCGCACTGGAAAAGTGACTATTAGAACTTTCTAAAGACAAATACAGGCAACGTCCGATTGGCAGTAGCCCCTTCAGATTGTTTAATTTGCTTTACCCCATCACATTGTCGCATTGCGGCGAAGCTACCTTTCAGGTTGAGCTATAGTAGCAATTGTAGTCACTAGAGAAAGTGCAAACTCCAGCATGGAGACTCAGTGCGTCGGTACAGTGATGCAGTGAAGCTTATTATTTTTAATAAGTTTCACTGCATTACTCTCTGGTATTTTGGCAAAGTTGTCTTTACTGCTCTGCTAAGGTCGTAAATAGATCGACTCGCGAGAGCGCTGGTTCGAACCTGTGTGGCATTAGCCTAGGTGGAGGCTTTAAACAATGTTGTTTTGGAACAGAAAGTAAAAAAAAAATTAAACCGAGATTTCTAGCGTCCGAAGTTTCACATGTTTTTATACATTAGTGTCTACAGCACAGACTAGGAACTCTGAATTCGAATGTAGCATGCCCTTGTCCGCTAAATGAGTTGGCTGGGTCTCTACAACAGTTGAAGAGGGGAGAGATGAAGGAAACAGTCTTTTCCTTTCACATGTAAAATGCCGTCGACATGACGTTAGCTGCGCCAAATCATGTAAATAAATACAATTCGGGTTCTTCATTAAAACAGCTAGGCAACACCATTTTAACAGCACTTCACCAACGACTGAAAATAGCGCTAAGAAACGGGGACACAAGAAGAGGACATACGGCACAGGCACAGGCGCGTGTGTCCTCGTCTTGTGTCCCCGTTTTTAGCGCTATTTTCAGTCGTCACAATGCACCAACAAGCCCAAATTTCGACAGTGTTGCACTTCACCAACCTTGCCAAAAGAAACCTTCCAAGTTTCTATTCCAAAGAATGTACCTCTGCAAGTTTTTTTTTTTTTTTTGTAATTTCACTTGTAAATACTTGAAAAATATTGAACAAATATTTTGTAACTTTTCGAAAAGATATTTCGTTCAATTCACTCTCAAACTTTAAAATTCAGATTTCCTTTGCACCTTAAGTTTTGCTATTCGCACAGCTCTAGCAAATGTACGTGAAACAGGGTTTCATGTATAAAGTAAGTTGGCAAAGTGTAAAAACTGTAAAGGTGTTTATTTGGCACTCGGTGACTGTATGTGGTGGCAACAGTCAAAGTGGAGCATAAGCTTTCAGCACGAGCAGCGCTCGTTCAGACTCACTAGAAGGCACTGAAGAGAAGAACCCATTATAGAGCTCTGCTACAATTACATTGGCTTGAAAAGGCTAGCGATTGAGAAAGCAGTGCAAGGAAGGCTTGATTTCACTATCACTTTGCAAAGTTCAAACATCCTCCCACTTGTTAACTGCTATGACCTCGCTGGTTCTGTGCAACTGATGTGCCAGCCTCCACCTATCTTGAGCAGAGCCTCAATAAAAGAAAGTGCAGGTGTTTTCCGGAAATGTTGGCGGATGGTTTTACGAAAGACAAACACCCACCGTAAGTGAAAGAAGCAGATAGAGATGTGATGAACGGAGGGAGAGATCAAGAAAGCAATCTCTGCATTGCATCTGGTGAAGTGTCCACTTGTAAGACTTTGAAGTGTCCACTTGTAAGACTTTGAAAGAAAGTATTGCGTGGCACTGGTGTCCATCTTATTCCACGATGCCCAGAAAACAGGCACTTTACTGACATGGGCGCCTGTCCTTGTTTGTTCCCATGTTTTTTTTTTTTAGGTGCACTCTTAGCAACAAGCTCACTTCTCAACAATTCTAAGGCACTTGTGTTGCTTGTCCTTTCTTCCAAGTATATCACTGTGTAGCTCTTTGTTTCTCTTTGTGGGTTGGTTTTTTTTAAAATTGGGAATCCATTGTGTGCAGGGGTGGTGCCAAAGGCTTCCACACTGAGGGTGCCCTGACGCACGTGTTTTGCCTGGTGGGCAGTGCAATCCCGGTGCTGCCCAGTGCTGCCCAGTCTGCCATCTGTGCAGAGCAGAACCCGATGGCCATTCACATCAGGTATCTAGGAATTGTGTCCTTTGTTTTACCATTGACATTGCTTGTCCTTCCTTGACTGCTTTGGAAAGGACAAATGGACCTTTCCAGAAATTGGTGCATGCCATCAACAGTGGTTGTAAAGCAATATTGGAAGCCGGAGCCCCGGCGGAGTGTGGTTTGCTCGCGGAATAAGCATTGGCTCACCCCACTTGCCGCAGTGTGCGGGCATATGAATGCATCCTCAAGGAAATATCACGCGTATTAACCCTATTTCAATCTGCGCTCTCAGAAGAGGCACAACCCAGAGCAACATGAAGCCAGCAAACACTAGTACGCTTGGCTTATTAATGACCTGGTACAATGCTCATGTACACGTTAAAAGGCCCACTGAATTGGAAACTTTATTCGGCTTTCGTGGCAGTCTACTGTGCTTCGTTAATTGTATTTCCGCATAGCAGGAGCTTTCCTCATTTGTTTTATTGCCTGCTTGACCGTTCAGTTTCATTATTAGTGTGCTTTATATTGGGCACTATCATTCGTGACATGCTTCCGTGCGATACGCAGTGCAAAAACGTGCCATTTGATGCATGATAATGTCCAAATGCCACCCTTATAAATGGGCTGAAGCCCCACATGCTGTGTAGATTTGAATACTAATTGGTTGTTTTATATGCTGCATGTGAGAAACCTGGCACTTGGATGTTGAGAGTATTAAAAACCAGCTACCAGAATTTCTATAGAGCGGACATTAGGTGAATGCACTTGGGTGCGGAGATTGAATAACTATGGTACAGTGTCGCACTACATAAAGCAAGAATACGCTGCACATTTCACTTCGCATGCAGTATTTGTTTTCAAACAGTAAGACATGCTGTCTCGGCATAATTTATGCTTTCATGACTGCGAGTTAGAAATTGACTCTAGAATTTTGGACCTGACTGCGCAAAAGGTCGTGACTGGTTAACAATAGAAGAAATATAGACCTAGTGTAATCAGCGTTAGTGTGCATTATCTCCACAGATGACTCAACTACGCACTCCCTCACCAGAGAAGGATTAGCCGCCCTGGTGCAGTATCTGGCCACTACCTCTCACATACATACGTCAATCAACACATGGCCCTCAGTCTTCAGCGGCTGCGAAGCAGCTGACCACAGCGGCAGTGAGATCTGCAACACAGCAGAGGGTGCTAAGAATCTCTGGGTGCGGACAGGCCACTATTGGAATCCTAACTTGTCAACGTTTAACGCTAGAACCGTATCTAGGAGGCAAGTCTAGCTGTACTATTCGAGGAACTAGAGTGTGTTAAATGGGATGTAATATGTCTCAGTGAGGTTAGGAGGACAGATGGGGCATATACTATGCTACAGAATGGGCACGTCTTTTGCTATCGTGGCTTGCCTGACAGAAGAGAACTGGGCGTCAGGTTTTTTTTCCACAAAAAATATAGCTGGTAACATAATGGAATACTATAGCAATAATGAAAGGGTGATAGATTCGTAATTAAACTCAACAAGAGATACAAGATAAAAGTGGTACAAGCTTATGCACCTACATCCTGCCATGATGACGCGTTAGCTGAAAGCTTCTATGAAGACGTGGAATCAGCAATGAGTTAGGTGAAAACACCGTATATTACTATACTGATGGGCGACTTCAATGCCAAGATAGGGAAGAAGCAGGCTGGAGACCAGGCAGTAGGAGATTACAGCATCAGTACTAGAAATGCCAGATGGGAATTATTAGTAGAATTTGCAGAACACAATAATTTACGAATCATGATTACTTTCTATTGAAAACGACGGAACCGTAAGTGGACATGGAGGAGCCCTAATGGCGAAAGTAAGAACGAAGTAGACTTGATACTGAGTGCACACTCAGGCATCATGCAGGATGTGGAAGTGCTTGGCCAGGTAAGATGCAGTGAACCTAGAATAGTACGGTCTCGAATTCGGTTAGACTTGAAGAAGGAATGACAGAAACTGATACGCAAGAAGCAAATCAATGGGCTAGCACAGAGAGGCAAGGTACAAGAATTCAGAGTCTCGCTTCAGAACAGATATTTGGCTCTTATTCAGAATGCCAGCTTTAGAGTTGATGCAATGAATGATAATCTGATGAGTATCATTACGGGATGTGAAGTGGGAGTTGTAGGTACGGTAGTCATATAGGACACTGACAAACTGGCCCAGGAAACGAAGAACCTCATTAGGAAGCGTCAAAGCATTAAAGCGTCAAACACAACAGACAAAATAGAGTGGCAAAGCTTGCAAAGTTGATTAATAATTGTAAGGTATCCGATCTAAGAAGTTATAACATAGAGAGAATTGAACATGCTCTAAAAAATGGAGGAAGCGTCGAAGCGATGAAGAGGAAACTTGGGATAGGCAAAAATCGGATGTATGCACTAAGGGACAAAGAAGGCGAAATAGCTACCAATATGAGTAGGATAGTTAAAATAGCGGAGGAATTTTACAGAGATCTGTACAGTAGCCAGGATAACCACAACTTTAATACTATAAGAACTAGCACCAACCCAGATGACACCCCACCAGTAATGATAGAAGAAGTCAGAAAAGCTTTGGAGAGCATGCAAAAAGGCAAAGCTGCTGGTGAGGATCAGGTAACATCAGATCTGCTGAAAGATGGAGGACAGATTGTGTTAAAAAAACTAGCCACCCTGTTTACGAGATGTCTCCTGACGGGAAGAGTACCAGAGTCTTGGAAGAACGCTAACATCATCTTAATACATAAGAAGGAGATGACAAGGGCTTGAAGAATTACAGGCCGATCAGCTTGCTGTCTGTAGTATACAAGCTATTTACAAAAGTAATTGCTAACAGAGTAAAGAAAACATTAGAATTCAATCAACCAAAGGAACAAGCAGGATTGCGAACAGGCTACTCAACAATCAACATTTTCATACTATCAATCAGGTAATAGAGAAGTGCTCAGAATATAACCAACCACTATACATAGCCCTCATAGATTACGAGAAGGCGTTTGATTCAGTAGAAATATCAGCCGTCATGCAGACACTGCGAAATCAGGGCGAACTGCGGAATCAGGGATAGCTGAGGAGTTTTTTAGAGACCTGTACAGTAGTCAAGACAACCACGTCCTTAAGAGAAGACTTGAGAGTGCCATAGATGACATCCCACCATGAATGATAGAAGTCAGAAAAGCCTTAGAGGAAATGCGAAGAGGCAAAGCTGCTGTGAGGTTCGAGGAACATTAGATCTGCTGAAATAGGGAGGACAGATAGTGTAAAAAGAACTAGCCACCCTGTTCACGAACTGTCTTCTGACGGGGAGGGTACCAAAATCTTCAAAGAACGCTAACATCATATTAATACATGACAAAGGAGATCACAAGGACTTGAAGAATTCCAGGTCGGTCAGCTTGTTCTCTATCGTATACAAGGTATTTACCAAGCCAATTGCTAACATAATTAAGACAACATTTGAATTCAATCAACCAAATAAGGCAGCAGGTTTTTGAACAGGCTATTCAACAATCGACCACATTTATACTATCAATCAGGTAACAGAGAAATGCTCAGGATATAGCCAACCACTACAGTGCAGTCCACTTATAACGATACCACATATAACGATATATCGGTTATAACGATGGGTCGACTTAACAGTCTCATTTTATGCATTGGGGCTATGGGGAAAAAAACCATATATAACGATATGTTATCCACCGCATATCGGATACAACGATGAAAAGTTTGCCGTGGACGGCATGTTTCATTCAGAATAATCGTAACATTTAGATTGATAAGTTCCTCTGAAACGAACTATGCCGAGACAAGACGAAAAGTTAGCGTAGGCGAGTACGTATCTGCCGCCACTGCAGCACAGCGCCGGCAGCGCGTCCCGGCCGTTCAAAAAGCCGAGGAGAGCATCGCGAGTTGGCGCGACGCGCTACAGATGGCGCCAGCTGTGTCACGTTTTGCGCCTCGCCGCGCGTCGACCGCGGAGAGGCTGAGAGAATTTAAAAAAAAAAAATGCGAAAAGCAAAGCGCCGCGCTCCGCGGCTCCCCGCCTTCTACAACGGCAAGCCGGCAAGCTACTCGTAGCTTGCCGAACGAAAGCGGGAAAGAGAGAGAAAATAAAAAAAGCGAAAAGCAAAGCGGCGCGGCGGCATCGGGGCGGGGCCTCGTTGGCATTCCGGCTGTGTACCTCTGGCTGTGCTTTCTTCCTCCTACCCCGCCGTCGGTCAGTCTCTCTTCCTCAGCGAACCCGTGATGCGTTCTTCGGAGTAAGAAATAAAGTCTTGTTCTTGACATCCTACTATCTACAATATTTATTAATTGGTGAAAATAGCGAAATGAAGCCTGGAGCTACAAAAGGTACGTCCGGCGACGATTTTTTGGCGGCAGTCCAGATATAACGATCACCGGTTATAACGATCATATTTTTAGGTTTTCTCGATATCGTTATAAGTGGACTACACTGTATACATAGCCTTCATATATTACGAGAAGGTGTTTGATTCTGCAAAAATATGAGCAGTCACGCAGACACTGCATAATCAAGATGTCGAAGAAGCATGTATAAACATCTTGGAAGAAACCTACAGGGGATCAAGTGCTACTGTAGTGCTTCATAAAGTAAGCAACAGAATACCAATCAAGAAGGGTGTAAGGCAGGAGGATACAACCTCCCCAATGCTATTGTTTTCAGAGGCCTAGAATGGGAACAGCTAGGGATAAGAGTGAATGGAGAGTACCTTAGTAACTTGCGCTTCGCGTATGGAATTGCATTGCTGAGTAACTCAAGAGACGAATTATAACTCATGATTACTGAATTAGACAAGGAGAGCAGAAAGATAGGTCTTAAAATTAATGTACAGAAAACTAAAGTAATGTACAACAACCTTGAAAGAGAACTGTTCTTCGAGATAGGTACTTGAAGTTGTGAAAGACTACATCTACTTAGGTGAGGTAATAACCGCGGAGCTGGACCACGAGATTAAATTAACTAGAATATTAATAATGGAGTGTAGCACATT